GGTGAAATAAATTCATGTACCCTTAAGTGATCTTGTGGAGAAATTTTCCTCTTCCCTACTGATTTAAATATGTTTTCAGTTCTATTAACTTTATTGTAGAAAATGTTACAGGATTAATACCTGATTTCATCATTCCTTAGACGGGTTTCAAGCGTAATGTTTCCAGTTGTGCAAAATGGAGAATTCTTAATAAGCCTTGAATAACAAAAGTCCTCACTTCTCGTATTTGCTGGATCAGATTCCTCAGCTAAACTGTCTAGTGTCCAAATCTCGAATTGGAGAAAGTAATCTAAGAACATTGGAGAAAGTAATCATCATGTTTTACTTATTTGATTACTAGATTTTTATACCAATTTGCTAATAAATGGGATTTGCACTTACAAAATAATAATCCAATTAAAATTAGAAATAGAACTAACATACTTTAATATATAATACAATATTAAAAATCATGTGATCTAAACCATAATTCAAGTAATTCAAAGATTATGTTAGAGAAAAGAGATGAATTCCGCAATTTTGGAATGAAACAAAAAACGGCCATTTCTAGCATGCCCCAGTAACCCCTATATTTAGAAGAACCTGATTTGCAAAGTTTTATATCTAGACTTGTTCATAATGATCTAGAACAGATGGTCTATTAAGTAACCTGGCAAGTCATTAGGAGTGTAAAAATTTGAAGTTAAAATCATGAGTTGATTCAAATGGCACTGAGTATCTTCCCCCCACACACAGACATTGAGTCTAGTAGGGATACAGCCCCCTGGATGAACCTATTTGTTTGTATGCTGCTCCTTTGGATATTTGAGTATTTTGTAGTTAATTTATTATTTATTTATTAATGATATACAAGTCATTTACTGAAGAGGGCAGTTATATAGATTAGATCATAAAGCAAACAAAACATTTGCAACTCTTTAATTTAAATGATCAGTATACTCTTCCTGATTAGATCTTATGTACTCTTTAAGTATAATTTCCTTTATGTCTTACAGAATTCTGCAATCAATAATTTTGGACTTGGCTACTATTGTCTTGCCAAACAAGCATTCTAAATGAGATCCAGCCACTTCCCATTTTTTTTTCCCAAAAGCATTTAAAAACAAAAACAAAACACACACCAAATGGATTTTCCCCAGCTTCAAATTGAAATTCGTTCCTGGAATTACTGCCCTGTAATTTCCAAACCCGACTATCTTTGCAGAAAAATCGGAGATCTTCTAGTTCAATTTCAACTGAATTCAATTTCAATTGAATTCAATACTTACACACAGATACACAGCCCTGAGTTAAACCCGTTCACTCACACACGAATTCCTTCGCCTTTGCTCCATTGCTACACGTTGCCCCCAGCTCAGTCTCCAGATGATCAAAACTTCAAATCCCTTGACTTGCAAAATAAAAGTGATTTTTTTTTACTATTTTAGACGATTCTCGGTACCTTTAAAAAAAAAAAAACGCCACCAATCTTTCAGACCTTTCCTGAATAAGGAAAAGAAAACTTTCTTCGAAATAGCATTTTTTCCCTGCAGAAATGTCACTCCCTCTCCCGCGATCCATCCGAGCCCCACGATCTCGAAATTATTAATCACCCCTTGCAAAAGACTCTTCCACGCACCGGGAGTTTCGCTCCGTTTTCGGAATCGACTGTTTCCTCCCCGAAGAGAATTCCGAAAAATTTGAATCCCACCCCGCAGCCAGGACACCGGAGACGAGGAAGATACCCTCCCGCCCACCAAAAGGGGGAAAAAAAATCCTGTTTCGACTTACCACCGGATTCATTTGACCCACTCCGGCTCCCGTTACTCATCCCCCCAGAGGCGCTGCTTCCGGAAAGGGAAACCAAATTTGCATGCCCAAATAGTACAGTACATTATGTTACCATCATCTGGTGGGAATCCGACGTTGCGGCCGTCTCATTTGATACATACGCACAGACTACATGTCCCAGAAAGCATTGCTCTTTAGGCGGAAGTAGACCCTCGGGGAAGAACTGCTGTTTGGGAAATGTAGGCTTCCAGTTTAGAAAAGTTGCAATGTTGGGAATCCGAGGAAATGGCCTGTAAAAAATCTAGTTTTTCATAATTTATGCAATCCGCTGGGTTTTACGAATTAGGGATTTCTAATCAGTTGTACATTGCCACCAATTAACTAAATAAACTCTCACCTTCTCTTTTAATAGGTTGAAGATGATCATTTTCATGATAAAAACATTTCTAGGAAGTCTTAGTTTGTATAATTAGTTACAATATAAGTAAAATTCAAGGGTTGAGGTTTTTAAATTTTGTGTCAAAAGTCAAGAAGTATCTACCCTAAATCATAATGGATATGGCCTACATCAGAAGAAACAAGTATTCAATCAGGTAGTTTTATATATGGAATAAACCAGTGAAATCAGAGGAAATGAGGAATACAACAAAGAAACAAAATCATATCAGAACAGTCTGGCCTTCCACGTTCTCAGTAGGTGCACTTGGTGGAAGAGAGTTATGATGGGTGATGTTGTCACCGAAAACTAAATATTGTTGGTTATTAGATGCGTTTAACCAGGAATTAGGCAAGTTTTGAGAGACTATGGGGACATCATCCACAACAGCAAGGGTAACCCCACTGTTTGTGTGGGGACTGAGGCACGTCTCTGCCTCTGGTCGCCGTCTGATAGCTGGGTCAGAGAGTCTTCACCTGTAGCAATTATCTCAGCAGAATCCCCAACTATCACCCATATAAATTTATGTCAGTTTTGGGGGGGATACAGTTGGGGGTCATCTTGTAAGGAGATGTTAAAGGCACTTCTGACTCTAGTAAAGGTGGTAGATAAGTTGTATCCTTAGAATCTGCATGCTTAAAGGACACTGTACAATGGAACAGTTTGTCTTTCTGCTGTAGCCTGCGTGACAATACTTTTTTTTGTTATTGAGGAAATAGTAGATTGTTGGGTAACTCTATTGTCACAAGTTTAAGTATTTGGTGAAGCCAATTTAAATAGAGGCTTTGTTGTGAATTGGGTTGTTGTCAGTGCCTCTTTTAGATCATCCAGTCTCTGAATAATGTTAGCTTACTCAGCTTCCTGGATGAAGAAATTGGAATAGAAAAGAACTTCCCGATAAACAATATTTAGGTCATGTCAGGATTTTTAGTTGACTAGTGTTGCGTCCTTCGCGAAATGGCAATGACACGAGAAGCAGTTGTAGTTCTCAGGAACTTCTTTATTTCTGTTCAGCATACTGGTTACAAGACGCCAACAATGCCCGAATCTCCCGGCCTCTTTTATAGGCCATTCCCGGGCCAATCTGCAACATTTGGCGCGCCAGCACCCGCGCATGCGCGCACGTGCTGGCGACAGCCAGTCTGGTCCCAGGCAGCTTGCACCTGCCCAGGACCGTTGCAATGCCCCGAGCCTGCTTCCACAGGCTCAGGACATAACAACTAGCCTATCATGCTTACTTTTATCTGGGACTTCTACACCAGTGAAGTTTAACATTATCTCCTTTTCCACGTCATAATGACAGGACCAAATTAGACCCGAACCAGAATGCTTCTGATAGGTGATATTTTCTGAATCTACTTGAGGTTCTCCTCATTGTTTCATAGATTTATCCTGCTTAGAAGCCCATGGACCTTTAAATTACTAAACATCCTCATCCCCAGTTGAAGCAAGAGAATATCCAAAATTCTAGGGTTGAAAAAACAGAGTTTGCAGGGAATCTGAGGCAACATGCTTTATATATCAGCTCTTAGGAAGCGACAATGAAAAAGGTTGGCATTTTCCTGGCCATATATGTAAGCTTCTAGAATGCATGTGTTTGGCCACTCTATGAACACCAAATACTAATCAGTTTAACGAATCGCAACCTGATTTAACAGGTCACTTCTTATGGATTCTCTTTCCTTGCTATTAATTTGCATTTCTCTTCTTCTTTGTCAATTATGACTATGTGCATAACCTTACAAAAAAAGCAACCTTGGCATAATGCCATATGTTCATTAATAGATAAATTGCATGCCTTAGCCATAAAGGTATGTCGTATCCAGCCTTGTTAACAGAAGGACTCCATGAATTAGGCTACTAAACTGTTAATTGTATTTTTGGATCCTGCTTGGTTAAGTTACTTTTGTACTGAACTTGAACCGTAATAAATTTATCTATCTATATACAATATAAGCATGGATAATTTAGTTGAACAGATATACACTCTTTCCTAGAAATTAGGATCTTGATATTACAATTAAACTGAATAAGGCATGCAAAAAAACCTGCAGTGGAGTTTATAACTTATCAGTAACCCAATTTAGTGGACAAATATACATTACGTTAAACACAGGTGAAAGTGGTTTCTCTGCATTGACTTAAATAATTTTGAATCTGAACCTTTATTCAGAATAATACATTTAGCACATTTTAATAGTTGCCAGTAGATGGCTCTGTTAATGTCTGGATAATTTATGTTATGGCTGTGTTTCTTGCCATAATGTATTATTTATTTCTTTGATTTAAGTTCTACGTTTTTTGTATAGAATTCAAGGTGACATGCACAGAACTTCTTCCTCCTACTTTTTGCCACAATTCTAAAGTAAAAGTAATCTATCAACTTCATCTATATTATTTGAAAAACATAGCCTAGATATGGTGTACCTAACCTATGGTGTAATTGTTATTGTTACTATCAGCATCTATACATGCATTTATAAATGCCCTAATGTAGTCCCTTCTATAATAAACCATGTCTGCTTCTACTCTTGTTCAAACTGTCACTGTATTCTTTCTCTTATTGTATTGTTTTTAATTTGTCTTATTCTTTCTGCATTCTGTTTTGTATTGTGAACTGTCCAGGGTTGTTTTGGCGTTGAATGCAATCAAAGTGAAATTAAATAAATAATAAAGAAATGATTAATTGAGCTTTACACCCACTATTTGTCCTGTACTAGTTGCACATTAAGTAAGTTTTAATAATCTGCTCTAAGTTAATAAGTTCATAGGCACACGGAGCCTGTATCACAGCAAACTCTAATATGATTTCTTAATCAGAGAATGATGCATACTGATTTCATGTTTGAGTTTATGTAAATAAATGTATAAAATCATATAAGGAATCATTTAGTTAAGTTTAGTTTAGTTTATCAACCCTTGCTCCATACAATAATCAAAAATAAAGTATCCCCAGCAGGTTCAGTGCATCCTATGAAGGGAATACATTACTCTTTTCTTACATTTTTCTTAGATTTTCTTAGATATCATTTGGCAAAATATGATGTCCTATAATTTTCATTCATTATTTTTTGTTCTGTAAATATAGGCAACAGGCTTATAATCTTCTGATATGATATCTTTTCAGGTATTTGAAGAGTGGTATCATGTATCTCACTTCATCTTCTCAGGCTAGCCATGCCTAATTCTTTGAATATCTTTTAGAGTATTGGATTTAGTTCCTAGTTACTGGTCATCATCACTTATCTTCTCTAAATCTGATATAGTTTGTCTCCTTAAAGTGAGTCCTCAAAACTGAACATAATATTCAATATGGAGTCTATCCATCACAGAACAAAATGGAATATTATGTCTTGTGAATGTGGGAAATATACCTTTATTAATAAGCCTAAATACTGCTGTTAGCAAAGCTAGTATCCTCATTCTATTTTGTGTTTATATATTTGATTTCTGTTTCTAAATAAATGGCTTTGGATTTGTTTCTCTTAAATGTAATTCCATTCTTTTCAGCCCATTCTACCATATCAAAATTCTTTTGAATTGTTTATTCTTGCTTCTCAAATATTATAAATTCAGTTTTGTGACTGTTATATCCCGAGCCTTGCAAACGGCTCGGGCGTTTGCAGGCAGTCCCGGGCAGGTGCAAAGCTGCCCGGGACCAGACAGGCTGTCGCCAGCGCCGTGCGCATGCGTGGGTGCTGGCGCGGGAAAAGTAACCCATTTACCCGGGAGTTGCCTATATAAGAGGCTGCGAGGCGTTTGTGCGAGGCTGAAGCCATCTTCCTGTAAGCTGAACACTGAATAAAAGAAACTGAGAACTCCAGCTGCTTCTCGTGTCTGTTTTCCCGCCACGGACTCAACACTGGCGACGAGGTGGGATGCCTTGCACTACCTGGAAAGGAAGAAGTGTAAGCTTACCCAAGGAGTCCTGAGCGGCGAAAGAGGAACGGCGTCGACTCGGCAGCTGCCCGCCAATCCGGTGCGCATTCGGGGGTAGGCTGGCTGATAGACCCGTCTCATGAAGATCCGAAGATGGCGAAAATCGGAAGGCTTTAGGAATTCGACGTCTCACATCCAGAGTGGTGGGAGTCCTACGTAGCCAGGGTGGAAAATTACCTCAAGGTAAACCAAGTGAGGGAAGATAGCTTGAAAGCTGCCACCCTGCTTTGTGTCTGCGGTCAAGATGCCTTCGAAATCGCAGAGAACCTTGCAGCACCTGTCCCATTAGAGTCTGTCAGCTATGCAGATCTAAAGAAGCTATTGAAGGAGCACTTCCAGCCCGGTGTACGTTTTATCTCAAGGTTCGACACTTATCGAACAGAGGGATTCAACGGGCCGGTGAGTCAGCCAAGGAATACATCGCCGCGCTACGGAAGGCCGCCAAGTCCTGCGAGTTCAAGGACCTCGAGGAACGACTGAGGGACCGATTCGTGTGCGGGCTAAGGCATCGAGAGCTACAACAGAGACTTTTTTCCAAGGAAGAATTATCCTTCCAAGACGCCTTAAGGGAAGTCACCGCAGAAGAAGCAGCAGGCGGCGCCGTCAAGAACATGCGGCCGATCAGAAGCAGTGCAGAGGATGCATCCGTGCACCAGGAAGACGTCCAACAAAACTCCGAGGAGGATCCGGACGAGGAAGTCGACCGTCTACACCCGCGAAGGAAGGAAACCAGAAGGGAAGCTCTTCGGCTCCGCTCAAGTGCATCGGCGTGGAGGTCGCCACAGGAGAACCGACTGCAAGTTCCGCTCCGCTACCTGCCGGGCATGCGGCAAACTAGGGCACATTGCAGCTGTGTGTCTGGGCCGACGAAGGCCCACCCCAAGCAAGAAACTGACGGGTACCCAAAAAAAGAATACCAGCCAGAATAGGGTAGGGTTTTGCGCTTCGCGAAGAAGCATCTGTAGAACAGGCACACACAAGCCCATGAAGAAAAAGCTGTCACTAAACGTGAAGCTACAAGGGGTTCCATTATCTATGGAACTAGACACAGGGTCTGCCCTTTCCATCATTTCATTGCATACATTTAGGAAGATTTGTTCCAGTAGTGGGACTAAGGCCAAGTTAAGGCCTTCTGATATTGTTTTAACTGATTTTCAGAACTCAAGAGTGTGTGTTAAGGGGGAGGCCACCCTTAACGTGCAATACAAGAGTTTTGAAGGTCCACTAGACTTGTTAGTAGTCGGGGGTGAAAGAACGAGTCTCATAGGACTCGATTGGTTTGAGGCCCTGGGGCTACACGTCACAGGATCAACAGCTTACAAAACCGAACACAGGAAGTATGAAAGAATTGCAGAGATGTATCAGCCCCAGCTGGGCCATTCAAAGGACCACCTTGTGTCCTAAAGCTAGACCGCACTGTCACTCCCATTAGGATTAAAGAAGAAGGGACCTTCTGCTTTAAAAAGTAAGATTGACACTGAACTAGACAAACTAATCCAACAGGGAAGCCTAGAACCTGTTGATTCCAGCCCGTGGGAGACCCCCATTGTCACGCCTCTAAAGGCAAATGGGGACATTCGCATTTGTGCTGATTACAAATGCACACTCAATAAGGCATTGCAGCAACATGCCTATCCTGTTCCTGTGGTCAGTCACATCCTGGCATCTCTCAAGGGGGGGAGTGTTTTTGCAAAGCTTGACCTAGCTCAAGCATATCAACAGCTGCCTGTTGATGATGATGCTGCTATAGCTCAGACCATTGTGACCCACAGGGGAGCCTTTAAGGTAAAAAGGATACAGTTTGGAGTGAATGTCGCTCCTGGGATTTTCCAAAGCGTAATGGAAAACACACTACGAGGTATACCAGGGGTCTGCCCCTATTTTGACGATGTCTTGATTGCAGGAGACTCCACACACATTCTAGCTGAAAGGCTTAGGGCTGTCCTGTTAAGATTCAGGAAATCAGGCCTCAAGCTCAGAAAAGACAAATGCCAGATTGGGGTGCCTTCTACTGAATTTCTGGGATTCAAAACTGATGCTGCTGGGATTCATCCTGCTGAATCCAAACTAACTGCTATTTTAGAAGCACCCAGGCCAAAGTCTAAGGACGAACTTC